TAGGTCATGAGATTATTTTTTCCTTACTCAGTAAAGCAAAATAAAAACTTGTTTAGAGATGACGGTGACATTTCTCCTGTGTGCCTTGGTGGAAAAGGACTCGGAGTTGCTTTGTTCATTTCCACCTGAAGCCAAACTGCTAAGCAGTTAAAACTCAAGGAGCCGTCGGACAGGTTTAACGAGAGTGAAGTGTGCAGCTCCACACCCACCTTTGCAAGACAGAACTGCTTCACGGGTTTGTTGAAACTGCTGTGGAACTGTGCTATAACTTTTTTCCTATATTGGAAATGCTTCTGTCTCAAGCCAGCGTGGTTTAAATGTTTCAGATTAAAATTCTGCAAATTAGTAAAAAATGCACCAATTGAATCAGGTTAAATCTGCTGTCACGTATATTAACTTATTATTGGAGAAGAAACAATCTCTGGGGCTGTTCTGATTTGCGTGACTTTTTCCTGAATCCAGCTCTTGCTGAAGGGAAGCTTTCTCATTTGGAGGTCAATTTATTAAATTGCGAGGAGCTGGTTAAAGAAAGTTGAAGTATCCCAGTTTTCTTAGAGCTTCCTAAGTATGAATGGCTGTGAATTTCTCAAAGTTTCAGGGGGAAACTCTCCTGTTTCTGACATTTGCAGCCCGCTCTTCATTGAGGGCTAAGAAAGGATTGCTGAGAAGATTCTACAAGGAATTGTCTGCATCCCACAGGACTGGATTGTTTTCCTCAACACCATTTAGTGGTGGTTGTAACTCCCGCCACTGAGTGATCGCCACTGCCTCACCCCTTCCTGTTTCCCATCTATAGTGAATGCTATTTGCCATTGATGTGAAAAGTTCTAGGACAAGGGTGGGTCACTCGCATGGAAAGCTCCAGGACCGGCTGGGTGTGGTGGCTCATACCTGTAGTTCCAGCACGTAGGTGGCATCGCCTGAGCTCAGGAGTTTGAGACCAGTCGGGACAACATGGCAAAACCCTGTCTCAAAAAAGGAAAAAAAAAAAAAAAAAAGCTCCAGGATCTGTACCTTGTCACTTTCAGAACCTTTTTAAAAAATCAAACGCCACCAGAAAATATTATGCACCTTTAAGAGCAATGCTAACAAGACATTTACACAAGGTTGGAAAATGCTCATGATATTATGTTCAATTAAGAAGGTGAGGCTGGGCGTGGTGGCTCACACCTGTAATCCTAGCACTTTGGGAGGCTGAGGCAGGTGGATCACCTGAGGTCAGGAGTTTGAGAGCAGCCTGGCCAACATAGTGAAACCCCGTCTCTACTAAAAATACAAAAATTAGCCGGGAGTGGTGGCGGGAGCCTATAGTCCCAGCCACTAGGGAGGCTGAGGCAGAAGAATCGCTGGAACCTGGGAGGCGGAGGTTGCAGTGAGCCGAGATCACACCACTGCACTCCAGCCAGGGTGACAATGCGATACTCTGTCTCAAAAAAAAAAAAAAAAAAAAAAGGCTGAATAGAAACTTGTATACTTGTATATGACCTGACATTTGTTGGTTTGGTAAAAAGTTCATTAGGGGAAAAAATTGGAAGGAATCTTCCAAAAATATCTAGCATGATCACCTTGTCTGGTTGGTAATTTTCGTTGCTTCTCTCCATTCCCTTCTGCCTTTTCTGTGTATTTTACAGCAAATATATACACTTTTATAAGCAGAGGGAAAAAAAATCCTAACTCTGGGTACATCCTTCTAAACAAGCCTATTGATTGATTTGCTGAGTGAGCTCCCAGCTCCAATCTGGGATTTCCCTTTACAGACTTGGGCCTTGGCAAGTAATGCAGGTTCTTTCTCATGGCCTGACTTTTCTTGGCCAGTGTAGGATAAGATGAGGAGTTTGAATAGGGTTTCTTCCCTGTGATTTGTGATCTTACCAAGCTTCTGACAAAAAACAAAACAAAACAAAAAAAAAACAAAACTAACAAAAACAAAACAAACCAAAAAATCCCCAAACTTTTTTGGACCCTAGATAAGAGTCAGTTGAAACGAAAGATGATTTCCCCCAGCTCCTGCTCTATTTAAATTTCCACAAAGTTAAGTACCTTCCCCCAGCAAAAACAAAAAATCACTGCAAACAGAAAAACTCCCTCGTTCCTGAAGGACACTTAAACCAAGTAAACCAAAGATAGTTTGGGGTTGGTGTACATATTTTACAAACATTTTCCTGTTGAAATGGGCTTTGTCAAACAGCTGTCTTCAATGACAGCTTTAAATCATTTCAACAATTTTAATTAGGAGAGATTAATCTTATTTTTGTGATAATTCAGATCCTAGATTCATTATTTCTGGAGGATTCTAATTTATCCAGACAAATGGAAGAGAAAAGAAGGAGTAAAATATACATATACATTTTATTATTAAGATTTTAATTGTCTGCCATTTTAATAGGCATTTTCTTTTCCTTCACATTATGGTTCCAATCCTAGCTTCTACCTGTAATTTTGATTTATTAATTATCTAGTTTTTATTAAAATACTACTCCTTGGCTGGACACTGTGGCTCATGCCTGTAATCCCAGCACTTTGGGAGGCCAAGGTTGGTGGATTGCTCGGCCCAGGAGTTCCAGAGCAGCTTGGGCAACATGGTGAAACCCTGTATCTACAAAAAATACAAAAATTAGTCCAGTGTGGTGGTGTGCACCTATAGTCTCAGCTACTGGGGAGGCTGAGGCAGGAGGATCACTTGAGCTCAGAAGGCAGAGGTTGTAGCGAGCCAAGATCATGTCACTGCACTCCAGCCTGGGTGACAGAGTGAGACTGTCTCAAACAAAACAAAACAAAATAAAAACCCCAAAACTACTCCTCTGTAAGGCAGAACAGTTATTTTAACTCATGGGCTATAAATCTTCTTGTGACAAAGAGTTATCATTTACTAACACAAAGGTATAGAGAGTTCCCATGGGATTTTGAGCAAGTAAACGATTCTTCTTAATCTCACTGAAATCAAAGTGTCTGTTTTCTTTTAAAAATCTGCTCTGAATATGACTGATTCCTCTTTCCTAACTGCAAGGTCATTTCTAAGGTCAGCCGGAGAGAAAGTTGCCTGTCAGTGGTCTGTTTCTATCAGCACAAGGGGAGCTATCTATGAGTGGCAGGCAAAAAATAGCTGACCTTAGGTCAGCCAGGGAAGACTCTGCCAGACTTTGAATTCCGATTTTTTAAACAAGTTGTAGGAAAACAAGCTACTTTTAAACCTCTTTACTGTGCTTCCAAGAGTCTATAAATGTACCTTCATTACAGCATACTTAATGTTGTGTTGTAGTTATTTGTTTTACTACTGCAGACTTTGATATCCTGCAGAAAAAGTCATGCCTTATTCATCTTCACGTGTCTAGCACTGAATCTGTTGTGTAACGTCGTAGATGTTCAATAGCTGCTTTTTCAATGAATGCATGTTAAATGTCTCCAAGAGGGAGGTTTACTGATTTACACATGGGATAAAGACAGGTACATTAACAGTTAAAATTTCACATCCAGCAAAGAACTTTTGGCTTAACAGGTAGTACCTTATGGAGCTTTATATGTTTCACAGTGTTCAAGAATGTGCAAGTATTTTATCTCATTTGACCTCACTGTGGATTTGGAAGGTTGGCAGAACAAGTGTTATTTCCATTATAACGCATGAAGAAATTGAGCTCTTGTCCAAGTAAATTGTAGCACTAAGATGATAACTATGGGCAAGTTACCCTAGCTCTTCATTGTGTGATGAGCCAGCCTATATAACTGATGTGTGTGCGTGCATGTGCATGTGTGTGTGTTGAGGTGGGGGGTTTCCATCTGTCGGGCATGTCAATCTATTTATTTTATCCTCTTATCTTTCTTTATCACCCTTAGAGAAAGATAAATGAGAGCAGGCAAGTTTGGTAACTGGAAGCCATTCGTGTTCTTCGGGATGCCTGGAGAAGCCCAGGAAGCAGTAAGATGGGCGAGGAAGCAACGCAGCCAGAGGTGTGATTGGTAATGTGGGCTCTTCACCTCCTCCTCTGTTTTGCCTGCAAATTGAACAGTTTTATGAGTCTGGGTGGTGTTTGGGTCTGTGTGGATCCTGGTTCCTATGACCCAAAGGCGCCCCTTGGCTAAGAAGAGCTTTTGTTACCACTGGGGGGTGGTTTATAGATTTTTTTTTTAAAGGATAATTCTACCGTGCAATTGTGTGGCCTTTTTATTACACATTAGAGAAGAATAATCCCGGATTTTTTTTTTTAACTTACATATATTTTATTGTTTCAAAGATAATTTACACTTTTAGCAAAACTATGCATATTGCTTGTCTCCCATAAACAAATGATATAAAGTTGTATGGCATTAATAATCAAGATCTGTACCAAGTAGTGCCAAAAAAAAGTGTACGCATTGAATAAAGCAAACGTATTTTTGTTGGAAGAAACAAAAACAAGTATTAAATTTTCAGGTTTTTAAGCAGTCATGAAACAAATAAAATAATTTTACAAAGTGTAGAAGTTATCATGAAATTATCCTTCCTTTTTTATTATTTTTTGCCTTGAGTATGTAATTGATACTTTATGACATATTAAACTACTTTTTTTTTTTTTTTTTTTGAGATGGAGTCTTGATCTGTCACCCGGGCTGGAGTACAATGACATGATCTCTGCTCAATACAATCTCCACCTCCCGGATTCAAGCGATACTCGTGTCTCAGCCTCCCAAGTAGCTAGGATTACAGGCGCCTGCCGCCACATCCAGCTAATTTTTGTATTTTTAGTAGAGATGGGGTTTCATCATGTTGGCCAGGCTGGTCTCGAACTCCTGACCTCAGGTGATCTGCCCGCCTTGGCCTCCCAAAGTGCTGGGATTACAGGTGTGAGCCACCGCACGGGCCCCTGAATTTCTTAAATCAAAGTTTTACTATAACATGTTTAAGGGCAGTGACTGGACCCTATTTATCTTTGTATGTTGTAGAGTATTTCCATATCCTAGGTTATAATTATTTGCTGAATAAATGAGATGCACAGAGGGAAAGTATCCTAAATGAAATTTTGTACCTTATGCACTTCCCTCCATGCATGTACTTCTCTTCTCCACCAATGGATATCATGGGCTGTTTGTGCAGAGGCTGACTTCCAGCCATTGATTCTGTTTGAGAAAAACCACTGTCTTGTCTATACATCAGTGTTTGCACAGGTTGAGCATCCCTAATCTGAAAATCTGAAATCCAAAATGCTCCCAAATCCAAACTTTCTGAGCACTGACATGATGACCACAAGTGGTGAATTCCACACCTGACCTCATGTGATGCCTTGTAGTCAAAATGCAGACAAAACTTTGTTTCATGCACAAAATGATCTAAAATATTGTATAAAATTCCCTTCAGGCTATGTGTATAAGGTATATAGAAAACATTAATAACTTTCCTTTTTAGACTTGAGTTCCATCCCCAAAGATCTTTCATTACGTCTATGCAAATATACCAAAAATCCGAGAAAATCCAGAATCCAAAATATTTCTGGTCCCAAGCATTTTGGATAAGGGGTACTCAATCTGCATAATCATTTAAATACTTGCCCACTTTGCTTTTATTAAAGATTCGAGGAAATTGAGACTACGATGCAAATTATTCGTTGTGCTAACAGTGATAAACTTTCATCTCATTATATGTGTTTACTCCTTGAATTTAAGACGTTCAGCTGTAAAAAGAAAAAGAACAAGACATTTTGTCAAAAATTATGCCTTAAAGGGTCAAGGTGTCATGAGAAATGCTATAATATGACATATTTTAGAAAGTCCCCCCCACTCTCTTTACAACATGAAAATGTAGTTTTTAATTTTTGTTTTCAGTTCATAAACATTTTGGAAACGCATTTTATCAGAAGGTAATTAGCGGCATTGTTTGGAAAGATGAAAAATTTATTAAAAAGATCTTTAAATGGCTTTTACTAAAGCGTCATTTAACAGTTTTCCATATTATAGAAACAGCTTTTCATGGATGGTGTGACTGTGTCTGTATCCAAACCCGGTTCGGTTCGTGGAGCCTACGGTGCAGTTAACACTCAGCCTCTTAACTGGGAGTGGCTCTGGAGCAAGTCGCTGGAATGTTCAAGCTCCGCGTCACTCATCGGTACCAAGCTGATCTCTGTCTAGGGTTCTTTGCCACCCTCAGGCTCAAGTCCCAGGAGGCCTCCGCCGCTGACTTGGGTGAACAGCTCTGAGTTCCGGAGAGGATTGGGTCTGCGGAGAAGGGCGCGAGAGACAAGCATCCGCAAGGTTCTGGTACAAAATTTGGAAACTGGACCTGGAGTTGAAATCTTTACTCCTCGTTTAAAAAGAGCATCAAAAGGGAAAAGATAAAATAAATTGGAACCTATATTTTTATGTTATCCCATGAAAAAATAGCTGTAGTGTTTTCCTCTTTATGCCAAAGAGATTAATATTTACGGGGAAGACTTTTCCAGGAAGTCGTGGTTTTCTGTAAAAAAAGGTTTTACACATCAGAAATCGGACTTCTGAGGCAATTTCCTGAATTCCTGGAATAAAACAAAACAGAACAAGCCCCCAGACAAAACTCTATCATCTAAAACGTTCCCTCCTCACTGTGGTTCTAGTCAATGCGTGGTAGGTAGCGTTTCCAGTGATGAACAAAAGTAAATATTTGACCAGTAACTCTCCAATCGAGAGGCCCCTCCATTCCAGCTATCTCCGCTCGGGGACCAAGGAAATCCTCAAAAGCCGGGCCAAGCATTCCCCGCCCGAGCGGCCCCAGCGCAGAGCGCAGCGGCCCCCGCAAGCGCAAGTCCTCCTCGCGGTGGCCGCGCCCAGGGCGCTCGGGTCGCTGGGACCCCGCCCCGCCCGGCGTTACTCAGGCCTCGGTGGCGCAGGGCGGAGCCGCGGGCGGCGGGCGGCGGACGCAGGTGGGGAGGGGCGGTCGGAGCGCGTCGGTGACACCCGCGGGGGGGCGGGGAAGGCGCGGCGGCCGCACCCCGCCCTGGGAAGAAACCGGCCAGGTGTGGCCTCGGCGCCCGGTGCCAGCGGGGAGGAGACTCGCGCCGCCGCCGACCAACACCAACACCCAGCCCCGACGCAGCTCCTCTGCGCCCTTGCAGCCCTTCGAGCCACAGCTCTTCCTCCCGCTCCTGCCCCCGGCCCGTCGCCGTCTCCGCGCTCGCAGCGGCCTCGGGAGGGCCCAGGTAGCGAGCAGCGACCTCGCGAGCCCCCCGCACTCCCGCCCGGTTCCCTGGCCGTCCGCCTGTCCTTGGCCCCCTCCGCCTTCTCCGCGCCGGCCCGCCTCGCTTATGCCTCGGCGCTGAGCCGCTCTCCCGATTGCCCGCCGACATGAGCTGCAACGGAGGCTCCCACCCGCGGATCAACACTCTGGGCCGCATGACCCGCGCCGAATCTGGCCCGGACCTGCGCTACGAGATGACCAGCGGCGGCGGGGGCACCAGCAGGATCTACTACTCGCGGCGCGGCGTGATCACCGACCAGAACTCGGACGGCTACTGGTGGGTACCTGCCCGGAGAGCGCGGGCTGCGGAGCGCGCGGGACGAGGAGGGACCTTCCTCCTCTGGGCGACGGGGAGACTCGAGTCCCGAAGGTGGAAAGGTTTTTTGCGCCAGGTCCCGAAGGAGCTTCCCGGCCGCGCTGGGAGCAGGACCCGGCTGTCCTGACGCGTGCAGGGACAGGTTGGCCCTGTCCTGCGAGCGGGGACTCGGTCCTACCTTTCTCCCCTCCCGCGAGCCCGGGCGGGTGGTCAGAGGGGGCGTCGGGCCAGCGCGGGGCTGTCCCCTGCCTGCCGGACTCGGCTGCAGTCGCCTTTGTCCCAGCCCGCGAATGGGAGGTCAGGGGAGGTGGGCCTGCGACCACAAAACCCAGCCTCTCCAACCGTAATCAATGTAAAAGAGGAAAGGAGCGGGGCCCCGGCACTATCTGGTGGCCGAGTGGTGCTCCGGGCTCCGCAGTCTTTACGCGCTCACCCCCAATCCCCGGTAACCCTGAGACCACGACTGCGGCGGTTCTTGGACTCCTCGGCCACCCGAGGACATTTGTATGAAGGCTGCACGTCCGGGCGGCGCGGGGTCCTGTCCCGAGGAGGCCCCGCTTCGGCTTCCCCTGTCCCGCAAACGAAACTTGCCCGCCGGGGTGGCTGCCGGGCCCGGCGCTCGAAGTTCGGCGGGGACTTGCCTGTTCCCCTCGGTCGTCCGCGCCGCAGCCCCGCGGGCGAGCGCACCTGTGGCCCTGCCTCGGAGCCTTCTGTTTCCTCCTTTTTAAAAACACCGGATGAAAGACCCCAGTGTGCCTTGGATCTCAGAGCGCCAGCCGCGCGTCTGCTTTGATCCAGAATGTGTGGGCAGGGGAGTGTGGGGGGGAGGACGACGCTGGGGGCCCGCCCTGGCCTAGGTGCCCCGGGAAGACCCCCCGCTGAGAGGATCCGCTTCTCCGGATCCTCGCGGAAACAGACCGAGGGCGTCGTTTGAGTGGGTGGGGAGAGACCCTGTCCCAGGTCTCGGGAGCTGGACTCTACATGCCCACGTGAGCGGTGCGCGTTTTGCAGCCCGCGCCACCTCCCCGCCCCCTGCTAGTTCTTCCCACGTTGGGCTTTTGGGAAAGAGGCTGAGCGTCGGGACGTTATTTACCAGGCGTTGTGGCCCTAGGCCTGGGAGGAGCAACCTGAATGCGCTCCAGGGCAGTTTTGTTTTGCAAGCAGTTTTGAAGGCTGGGACTACTCGAGTTGCAACCTGTTTGCTGCTTGGATTCATTTATTTCTGGAGCATCCTGGAAATCTATTTCACCTTTTTTTTTTTTTTGGAGTTAGCAAAGAATTGTCTCAATCTTGGGAGTTCTTTGTTTCCTGAACAAAATGTGTCTGGGGATTTCCAGGGAAAATGTGCCAAGCAATAGGAGGAATGAAAAGTTGGGTTTTCATTACATTTGTTTTAAAATTTTGCCAGCCATTTAAATCTGAAATTTAAATTTTCTCTCGCAGTCCTCCAGGATTTGAGACGCACATCTATCCTTTAAATGTGCGGGTTACACATAGTTTAAATCCAAGTCAGAATGGAATGTGAAGGATTCTTTAGCAGCTCTTTTTGGCATTTTTATGAACCAAGTATTTATTTTGATTATTATTTATAACTATGCTTTTGCTAGCTGGATTTCTTATCTTTTAAATAGACAATAATCAGTATAATTAATCGAATATTTCACTCCCTTGGTTTCTTATACCTTTTGTAGAGAAGTAAAACTTTAATAAATTAATTGGTTAATGAACTGCATCAAGATACATGTTTTGTTAGGGTTCCTCACTGAAACATTTAATTTTGGGCAGGCTCCATGTTTTTTCATCGTGTAGTATCATTTCTTGTGTTCTGTTTTTCCAACTTAAAGCCTACTTATAAAACTTATCAAGTCTCCCATCTCTGGGAAGGGGAAAGAGACCCAAGTGAAAAATTACCTGACTTTGAGGAAGGATGTTTTCTCTCCTCATTAATGTTGCTCTGCCCGCCAGCAGGGCGTCAGGCTCAGGGCTTGAGTTGAGAGGCGGTCATTCTTTCTGGGGATCCTGGCAATGGAGTTTCCTCCCGAGCCTGTCCCAGCCTGCAATGGTGCTACTGACTACAAAATCGCCCACAAATGCTGACTGCTGCGTTTTCAAATAATAGCGACTGGCTGAAGACAGGGCATGTCGCAGTTTTTCTGGTGGCATTCTGGTTTTGTGTGGAGGGATATGTTTGGCCGTGGCATGCACTTTGTAGAAGCAGGGTGCCCTCTATGCCCAAGGGAGCCACTGCCCTCTGCTAAGTGAATGATGATTAAGAATTTCATAAGTATTTTTCTGACCCGAAGATTTTCTAAATAAAGGTTTTTGTGGTTTTCTTCTTTTCTTTCTTTCTTTTTTTTTAAGCTCCAAAACTAGTATAAAAACTATTGGTTGACTTTAAACTCATTTATTTCAAAAACTGCTATTTATGGCTGAATTATTAATAGATTGGTGATTTTCGAGCTGAGTGTTTTGTATTTAGCCCTTCCCTAAATAAAGTAATTTGAATGTGTAGAGGGCCCAACTCTTAGTTTTCCTTTGAAAATGACTTTAAAACAGCTCTCTCCCTCTCTCTGTCCTTTCCACGAACAGCACTTACCCATTTTTAGGACAGTATTAGATCTCACTGTATCATAATCCCCCTTTTTTCCCCTACCACCCGCCTGTTCTTTGTGTCTTTATTTTAGATTGAATTGAATCTGCAGCTACTTAATTTTGTTAACATTTGGTAAATGTTACAACCTTGATAATGAAATAATAGACATGTACATGTCTTGAAATGTAAATTTTGGATTCTTCTTGGATAGGATGTTATATTAATACTGTTTTCAATTACAGCAGAATTACTCTAGTCTTATTCCTGTCATTAAAACAAATTACAAATCTGTAGTGAAATTTGTTATCAAAGTAACAAAGCCTCACAGTTAGATCTTTCATCCATCAAAGGGTGGATTTGTGGGAGGATTAAAAGCAAAAAATAGTCATTAAGCTTCGGAAATATGTGGTTATAATATTAATGCTTATTTTTCTTCAGATCTCATGATTTCAAAACTGAGATACATGTGATCATTATTTCATAAACATTTTAAAGTTAGTCTTAAATTAGGTTTTAAGAGAAGCTTATTTCTTACCATGAGACAAACAGGTCCATTTGCCTGAATTTTAGACCAGGGGGCCCCTAAGGATCACTTAGCCTAGGCAGAAACCCCACATGCACACTTTAGAGACAGGAAGCTGAGGACGTGCCCAAGATCCCAGAATCCACTTATGGCTGGGTTGGCCTGAGGACCCAAGGATCCTCACCTTGTTTTTCCCTGTGCCTTCACAGCCTGACTTTTAGAATGGACAGGCCTGTAATTACACCATGAAAGTATCTCACATTCCATTAAGTCCTTCATTCAGCAAGTGTTTACTGAGCATCGGCTGCACTCTGTGTTGTGTCAGGGGAGATCGAGGTGGAAATCTATAGTCTTGAAAGGAGCGTAGGCCCTTCCAAGGATAAGTACACGAAGACTAGCACACAAAAGCGGAATGCCCAGGAGGGGTGTACATGACTTCAGAGACGTCACAAGGAGGTGAGAGAACATCTGTCGTGGGGGCACTGGGAAGACTTTATAAGGGAAGTGATGTCGAACTGGACTTTGGAGGATTTCAGCTGTGTCAAGATGGGTGGGCAGAGAGCCTTCCGGGGGAGAGAAGAGCTTGAGAAAAGTCTGCGAGGCCTGTGGAGTGATCTCCTTTTTGAGCATTCGCTCTGAGCAGGGAGGCAGTAAGGTGAAAGGAGGAAGCATCCTCTTTGACCAAGGCATTCGAAACCTTGAATGCCCTGGAGAGGGATTTGGATAGGCAGAGGGAAGCTGGTGCAGGTGTTCACTGAAGCCATTGAAAGTCTCTTCCATTGGAGGAGCAGGGAAGTTAGACGATCATAACTGAGCTTCTGGACTGCTTAGGCATTGGCTTAAGGAAGCCATTGCACCAGTGAAGGAGGGAGGGAATGAAAGTCTGAACCAGGGTGAGGGCGGTGGATGGGAAAGTAGGTATTGCCAAGGTGGAGTGACAGCTTCGGCTAAGAATTGGATGCGACAGGCAAGGGAGAGTCTGAGAAAACAGGCCCAGAGCTCGAGTGACTCATAGCATAGATAGTCTAAACGCTTTTCTGGGAAACGATTGCAAAGCAAGATCTAGTTTAGCTGAGTATGTGGCAGGTAACATTTACATGATTATTAAATTTAACTTGTATATTTTATAAAAATATCAGGTCTGTGGTTAATAATAGTTACCATCACCCGGCAAACACACGGTGATGTGCCTGGTATAGTATGTTTGTTATCTCAAGCCTCATAACAAACTTCCCAGTTTACAGATGGGAAACTGAGGTTAAAATATTTAAATGACTTGCCTAAGGTCACACAACTACTTAAGTGGTTAAGCTAGATTTGAATCCAGTATACCGCGAGGACCCAAGAGAAGATTAAACCTGCAGTGTGAGAATTCACCTTTTCTACTTGTAAACCCTTTTCGATCTGAGTTATTGCTTATTTTGAATCTGTTGAATTCCTCAGCTTGCATTCCTGTGAAATATTTCATAATCATTGTATTCTTTCATTAATACTCTTGTAGAGTTTCCATCTGCTTAGGAAAAAAGAAACTCAAGTTGATTCTACATTAAGCCAACTAATTGTTAGTCAGATCTATTTAATGGGACAATACAGCTTTCAACAGTCATTTTTTTCTCTAAATATGGGCATAATTTCATTGTTCAGGTAATGGAAATGTCTTGGAAAGGGGAAAACTGCTGATGCCCCTGATGCCTCATGCTGACTTCTCAGGGTGGAGCAAAGGAGGGCTTGGGTGTGAGACTTGAGGAGTGTGTCTTCACTCTCAGCTAACCAGTCTTTCCAGACCAGGAGGTTCTAGAAGGAGTGGTTTCAGTCTGGAGGCCTTGTTGCTGCAGCTGGGAGCAGTGCCACACCCCTTGATTTTCTCCATCTCCCTCCTGCTGGGCTGGTCCCAGTGGCCCTGCCACTTGAAAACGTTCAGGTGTGGTTCTGAATTTGAAGCCATGGCCCCACAGATCCCAAGACTCAGACATGAGCTGCTCATTTGGGGTGACATCTTGTGAAATACTAGTGCAGTCCAATAATGTATGCCTCGCCACCGACACCTTGGGCTGGAAGGGCTCATGAATGTGAAATCTACATTTCATGAAAATGAAGACAGTTTAGTGAGAAGCTGCAGCAAACAGATCTAAGGCTCTGCTTGGAATTACATTTTGTTTGTTTGTTTTGAGATGGGGTCTTGCTCTGTGGCTCAGGCTGGAGTGCAGTGGCATGATCATAGCTCACTGCAGTCTTGACCACTCAGGTTCAAGTGACTCTCCCACCTCAGCCTCTCGAGTAGCTAGGATGACAGGCATGCGCCACCATACCCAACTAATTAAAAAAAATTTTTTTTTCTAGAGACAAGATCTCACTATCTTGCCCAGGCTGGTCTTAAACTCCTGGGCTCAAGCAATCCTCCCACCTTGGCCTCCTAAAGTACTGGAATTACAGGCAAGAGCCAGTGCACCTGGCCTTTGAATTTTCTTACCCTCAATAAGTTTCTTTCGTGCTGTTAAAGTGTATCACTCTCTATGAATTGTCTCAGTTATATTTGAGTCTTGTAAGGAACCTTAGGAACTCCTGAAAATACCTCACACTTAATACCCAATCCATTACTTCCTTCTCCTCTTTCTCTTTTTTTTCTTTTCACCCCACCCCCATTTTGCTGTGGGACATCCTTAAAGTTGTGGACTGGGGCAAAGACAAAACACAAAAATGAAATTTCAGCTGGGTGTGGTGGCTCATGCCTGTAATCCAGCCCTTTGGGAGGCCGAGGCAGGTGGATCACAAGGTCAGGAGTTCCAGACCAGCCTGGCCAATATGGTGAAACCCCGTCTCTACTAAAAATACAAAAATTAGCTGGGCATGGTGGTGTGCTCCTGTAGTCCCAACTGCTCAGGAGGCTGAGGCAGGAGAATCGCTTGAACCCGGGAGGCGGAGGTTGCAGTGAGCTGAGATCGTGCCACTGCACTCCAGCCTGGTGACAGAGTGAGACTCCATGAAAAAAAAAAAAAAAAGAAATTTCAGAACCATAACAACAGCAGCAGCCTCCGCAAGTAAAAGCTATCTCCGCCTCTGCAATGCCCCTCTGAGCCTCACCTCAGCCCCAGGATGGGGGTGTTCTACCTGTCCTAGAGGCAGAAGCTCCAGGCACTGCCAGTGGATGTCACTTTAAGTTGCTCAAGGTCACTGGCTGTATAACTGGAAGTGGCTGAGCTGGGCGTGGACTCCAACTGTGCCCTACTTCAAAGCCCTTCTGAAGTTAATGATATGTGATCAGTTTTCCACTACCCCGCAAACACAATCTGCCAAGCACTCAGTGTGAAAATCAAGAAAACCTCTTGGAAAAGAAGCAGAACTTTTATTAGAGAACTGTTTCTGTAGCTCCTGGGCGAAGACAAAATGCAGGATCAAAGGAGGCTGCCTTTCTAAAATCTATAGAGAAAAACATCCACCATGTTTGTTCACTGCTGGAGTGCGAGTGGGGAGGGGACAGCTGTGCTCTCTGGTTGAGTTTTGAAATCAGGGTAATGCGATGAGCCAAAATATCTTCAGATAGGTCTTTTGTTTGCCTTGTTTTTCTTCCACTTTACTAACCCAAACAAACATGCATTAAGTACCTTTTGTGTGCAGAACCTTATGTTGTTAGGTTAAGTGTTTGTAGGAGTCCAAGATGACTAAGATGTGGGACTTTGCTCTCCAGGAGTACGTAGCCAGGTGTGTATAAACTAATGCAAGAGAGGAGAGGATGCATAGGTGTGATATGGAAAGCTCCATGCAGAAGGCTGTAACTTTTGAAGTTTTGAACTTTTGAAGGATGGCTAACACGGCATTTCAGCTGATGTATATATAGGGTGTTTAATGAATTTTTTTTTTCTTGAGACGGAGTTTCGCTCTTGTTGCCCAGGCTGGAGTGTAGTGGTGCAGTCTTGGCTCACTGCAACCTTTGTCTCCCAGGTAAAACCATCTCATCTCAACCTCCCATCTCAGCCTCCCAAGTAGCTGGGACTTACAGGCGTGCGTCATCACGCCCAGCTAAGTTTTATATTTTTTTTTTTGTAGAGATGGGGTTTTGCCATGTTGCCCAGGCTGATCTTAAACTCCTGGGTTCAAGCAATCAGGCGGCCTCGGCCTCCCAAAGTGCTGGGATTACAGGCATGAGCCACGGCGCCCAACCTTGTCTTGTATTTTTAAAAATAATATTTTTGGGAACACATGTAAAGCTAATGCCTTAGGACAGCTAGTTTTGGAGTCCTATTTTTAAAGAAAAATTTTTTCGAAGATAGTAAAATAAAACCTTGAAATCTTGGTAATACTGTTCACACATTCATGTGGCCCGTCTTTGGATTAGAATGCAGAACTTGTTTTCTTTTAACCACCGGTGAAGGGCTCTCTATGCAAATATTTGGAACCCTTTCTTGTTTAAACAAGTTTTAGCATGAACTTTAAAAAAAATATGTGCAGGTAGGTTCTTTGTAGTATGACTCATTTATCTCTCAGAAGAGTTAAAAACTTTTAAGGATGAGTTATTTTTTTAAAGGGCACCTATTACTTTGGTTTAGAAGTCAATATTCTTTTGATAAATTTGACCCAAATGAGTTATTTTCTTTTTCTTTTTCTTTCTTTTTTTTTTTAAAGGAAAGCACATGACATCTGCCATCTTCTGTGCCACCAAAATGGGATTTAAAAATTGAACTTCATGGCTTGTTACTTTAATTCGTAACATGATTTGAAAATCTCTTAACCCTAACACCCATATGTAGCAGTATTAAAAATTTCTTTGAGGCTAGGGGTTAAAAAAAAATTTTATACACTTGTTAGTAAGTACATCATTTTAAAATTATTTATTTATACATAATAGAATTTTGCATTTTTCCAAACTGTACTATATGAATTAAATTTAATTCAATTACCATGAATATATTTATTTACCATGAACTTAACATAGACATTTGTATTATTTTCAGTAAGGAAGAATGACTTTGGTGGTTTCCTAAAATTGAGTTACAGAATGAATGAGGTAAAGAAATCTTACATACCATTTAGCCCAACAGATGGAGATAGAAATTTCTGAGATTAAAAAAAAAATCTAAAATTATGTGGTCAATAAAAAAATACATATATATATATATATATATAAAATCTGACTTAGAAGGGTTTGAATTACAGCTTTTAAAAACATGCTTTTCCTGGCCAGGTGCGGTGGCTCACATCTGTAATCCCAGCACTTTGGGAGGCCAAGGTGGGCAGATCACTTGAAGTCAGGAGTTTGAGACCAGTCTGGCCAAAATTTGGTGAAACCTTGTCCCTACTAAAAATACAAAAATTAGCTTTGCGCGGTGGCAGTGTGCCTGTAATCCTAGATATGTGGGACACTGAGGCAGAAGAATCACTTGAACCCAGGAGGTGGAGGTTGCAATGAACTGAGATTGTCCCACTGCATTCCAACCTGGGCGACAGAGTGAGACTCCTCAAAAAAAAAAAAAAAAAAAAAAAATAGGCATGTTTCCTGAAGCAAGCTCTCCTGGCTCTTGTGCTGAAGAATCCATTGTTACACATACAGCTGGTCTGACATCAGCCTGACTCGATGGGTCGAAATCCTTTCCCCAGACTTCTTCCCTGATTAAGTACAGTGAGTTCTGTGTGGATTCTTCACTGGGCTAAAACAAGCAAACTGACCTGTCAAGGTGGATTCCCTATACCTTAGTTGGCCTGAGTCTCCCTCTGTCTTGTTTTGATGGGCTGAGTCATTCACGAGGTGTATACCTAGTTCCCTTTCTCGCCTCAGTCTGTTTCCTAAGGGAATTCTTGGCCACACCTAAGACTGAAGTTGGATTCTTACAGATGAAAGATAGAAATAGACCTTGTTTTAAGGATCAGATGCAGTCTTGAAAAGTTGTGTATATGATGAAATTTGGTTAAGCAGATCACACTTCCCAATAGACAAATAGTGATATCAAAGATTCTTTATTTCATTGTTCCAACACTGTAGCTTTTTATTTTTTCAACCCTTTAAAGGATTAGATTTTTGTGCATTCCCCATTCCTATGCAGTTGTTAATTTATGTACTAACATGCCATGCAAAACATTTAAATGTTTTAGTGGATATCAGGAACATATGAGACAGGGCGCAGTGGCTCACGCCTGTAATCCTAACACTTTGGGAGGCCGAGGCGGGCAGATCATTTGAGGTCAGGAGTTTGAGACCAGCCTGACCAACATGGTGAAACCCCATCTCTACTAAAAATACAAAAATTAGCCAGGCGTGGTGGTGTGTGCCTGTAATCCCAACTAATCAGGAGGCTGAGGCAGGAGAATCGCTTGAACCCGGGAGGCGGAGGTTGCAGTGAGCTGAGATCGTGCCACTGCACTCCAGCCTGGTGACAGAGTGAGACTCCATCTCGGGCGGCAGGGTAGGGGGAAAGAAGAACATATGGAAATCCTGTAGAAAAGCACGAAGAATTTATTTGGTATTATTAGCAGCATATGAAGTTACCTGTTTTTTTTGTTTGTTTTTTTTTAAGTTCAAATATGGGTAGGCAAGGGGAGGCAGGTAAGGTGTCTTCTCTTTATAGGATGCCAACTGATCTCTAGAGAAATAGGAATGTCTTCTAAAACTAGGGGGGAGGGAATGAAAACATAGAGAAAACCCACCAATGTTTTAAGCCAATGTTTGGTTGCCTCACCTCCTTTATCCCGGATGTAATTCATTTCTAACTGCTGTGTAACTAACTAGTCTAAGTTCTTGGGTAGAAAGAAGCTGGTGAGTTTTGTATTTTGTGGCCAAATGAATTTGGTCTCATAAATTCACTTTTAAAAAGGTGTATGTGCACTTCGGTGCCTTCATTCACAACTGTGAATGAACAATTGTGTTTGTCCTCCCTGTCTCTGTTTTTGAATACATTTTAATTCTACAGTAGTTTTAGATTTGTAGAAAAGTTACAGAATAGTACAAAGTTTGTGTGTACCCTCACCCAGTTTCCCCTGCCTCCATCATTTTGTTTTCTTAACAGCTGGGGTTTATGCTGTGTTGCCCAGGCTAGTCTTGAACTGCTGAGCTCAAGCGATCCGTTTACCTTGGCCTCCCAAAGTGCTGGGATTACAGGCGTGCCCCACCCTCATCTTATAGCTCAGTTTGTGATCCTTTTTACAGCAGCACACATTATTAAATCATTTAGGAAACTCTGACTTTCCATTGTGCTAAGAGACAGCTCTTTCATTTAT